GATGTTTCAGAAGGGTCTAGGCCCGAAACGTCAGCCTTCCTGCTCCTCTGATGCTGCTTGGCCTGCTGTGTTCATCCAGCTCTACACCCTGTTATCTCAGATTCTCCAGCATCAGCAGTTCCTACTATCTCAGACGCACCAATTTACCTTGCCGATGCTGAAACCACAAGCCCAGAACAGAGGCCTGACCAGTGCAGGAGCCAGACCTGACCCCGTGACCCGCCATAGAGGAGGCCCGACCGAACCGGCCACAAGACCCTCTGGAATGCTCAAGGCCACAACTGATGCCCAGGATCCCATTGAGAGTACGCATACACCTCTCTGAGCAGCAGACTTCCCTGACTGACACCTGGGATTGACTAGGAGCAGACACCTACCCAGGTAAACATAGGAGATGCACTAGACTTCAGGTCAGACTGAAACTTTGTGGTTTCAATTTCCCCCCTCCCCAGCATACTCTTAACGAACATCCAAGCTATTAAGAACAAAATGGATGAACTTAAAGCTAGATGCACCTTCTAAAGGGAATTGAGAGACTGCTGTGTGCTGTTTTACAGAGACATGGCTCATTCCTACAATGCCTGACTGTGCCTTACAACCAGAGGGTTTCTCAGTTCACCAAATGGACTGCTCGGCGTCCTCGGGCAAGGCAAGGAGCAGTGGGGTCTGCCTCTTAATTAACACCTCCTGGTGCTCAGATGTGGCAACCCTGGCGAGTTACTGCTCTCCGCACCTATAATATCTTAGTGAAGTGCCAGCCCTACTACCCACCATGTGAGTTCACCTCTGCTATCCTGACAACAGTCTACATCCCACCACATTGCAGAAATGAAGAGGGCACTTGACAAAGTGTACAACGCAACAAACAATCCCGAGACAGAAAACCCCAAAGCCTTGTTCGTCATAGCCGGTGACTTCAACCACGCCAATATTAAGAAAGAGCTACCAAAATACCATCCACATGTCTCCTGTTGCATCAGAGGTCCAAACATCCTTGACCATTGCTATACAACCAAAAGATGCCTACCGCTCCACGCCCATTAGCATTTTGGAAAAATCAGATCACAACGCTACGCTCATCCTCCCGGCTTACAAACAGAAATTAAAGTGCAAGGACCCAGGACAGAAAGTAATGCAGTGTCGGTCTGTTGCAATGGAAGGGCTTCTAATGGGACTGCTCACGAGAGTGGACTGGTGCACATTCAAGAACTCGGCAGTCATCCTAAACAAATACAACACTACTGTCACAGACTTCATTAGTAAGTGTGTAGAAGACTGTGTGCTGAAGAAGTTAATCCAAATGTGCCCAACTGGAAACCATGGATGAACCGGGAGATCCACTTCCTACTGAAGTCCAGGTCTGAGGCACTCAAGTCAGGTAAACCTGATCGATACAGGAAATCCAGATACAACCTTCGTAAGGCCAAAGAGAGATAACAGTGTGGAGCTGGAGGAGCACAGCAGTCCAGGCAGCATCAGAGGAGCAGGAAAGTTCACGTTTCAGGTCGGGACCCTTCTTCAGATATGGGGGAGGGGGAAGGGAGCTCTGAAATAAATAGAGGGAGGAGGGGTGGGACTGGGGAAGGTAGGTGGGATGGTGATAGGTGAGTGCAGGTGGGGTGTGGTGGGCATTGGTCAGCGAGGTAGGAGGAGCGGATAGGTGGGAGAGAAGATGGACAGGTTGTGTCACGTCAAAAGAGGCAGGGATGAGGGGGAGGATTGGTCATGGGATAAGGCCGGGGGTGGGGAGATTTTGAAACCAGTAAAGTCCACATTGAAACCATTTGGCTGTAAGCTCCCAAGGCAGAATACGAGATGCTGCTCCTCCAGTTTCCGGGTGGTGTCATTGTGACACTGGAGGCGGCCCAGGATGGGCATGTCGTCCAGGGAGTGGGAGGGGGAGTTGAAATGGTTCATGACCGGAAGGTGTTGTTGTTTGTCGCGAACAGAGCACAGGTGCTCCACAAAGTGGTCTCCGAGCCTCTGCTTGGTCTCACTGATGTAGACGAGGCCACATCAGGAGCAGTGGATGCAGGTAGGGGGTTATTGTGATTGGTCAGTGGGAAGGGTGGAGTGGACAGGCGAGTAGGAAGATGGACAGGTTAGGTCCAGTCAGGACATGGAATAAGATTGGGGGTGGATAGATTTTGAAGCTGGTGAAGTCAATATTGGGGCCATTGGGCTGTAAGATTCCAAGGTGAAATAACAGGTATTGTTCATCCAGTTTACGTTTGGCCTCTCTCAGACAGTGGAGGCGGCCCAGGACGGACATTTTTTTTCCCTTTATTCATTCATGGGATGAGGGTGTCACTGGCCAGGCAGCATTTATTGCCCATCCCTAGTTGCCCAAAGGACAGTTAAGAGTCATCCACATTGCTGTGGGTCTGGAGTCACATGTAGGCCAGACCAGGTAAGGATGGCAGTTTCCTTCCCTAAAGGACATTAGTGAACCAGATGGGTCTTTCTGACAATCGGCAATGGGCTCATGGTCATCGTTAGACTCTTAATTCCACCATCTGCCGTGGCGGGATTCGAACCTGGTGCCCGGAATGTCCCTGGATTAACAGTCCAGCAATAATACCACTTGACCATCACCTCCCAAGGTCATCAGGGGAGTGGGAGGAGTTAAAATGGATGGCAACCGGAAGATCACATTAGTTGGTGCATGCACTCGCTTTGAACAGAAGGTCAGTGAAATAACGTCACCTATCCCAACAGCCTCGGATGCACCTGTACCCACAATTACTGCCACTGACATCAGATCGGACATCTTGAGAGCGCGCCCATGGAAAGCAACTGGCCTGGATGGAGTCCCCAGTCACGCACTCGGATCCTGTGCAGACCAGCTTGCAGGATTATTCGCTGACATCTTTAACTTCTCCTTACTACAATGCAAGGTTCCCACCTACTTCAAGATGACCACCATCATCCGGGTGTCAAAAAAAAAATTGTGCAGCGTGCCTTAATGACTACTGCGCAGTCGCTCTGACGTTGATAATTATGAAGTGCTTAGAGAGGTTAGACATGGCTCACATCAACTCCAGCCTACCAAATTGCCTTGATCCTTTGCAATTTGCCTATTGCCGCAACAGGTCCCCAGCAGACACCATCTCCCTGGCCCTACCCTCATCCCAGGAACATCGGAATAACAAGGATACCCACATCAGGCTCCTACTTATTGACTACAGCTCCGCCTTCAACACCATAATTCCAAACAAACTCCTTCTGTAACTGGATCCTCAACTTCCTGACCCATAGACCACAAACCAGTAAGAATAGGCAACATCACCTCCTCTAACCCTCAACGCCGGTGTCCCGAGCCCCCTACTATACTCCTAACCGTGTGATCAAATTCCGTGCCAACTCCATTTACAGGTTTGCTGATGACACCACTGTTGTTGTTTGAGATCCTACCTGCGAGACAGAGTACAGGAAAGAGATTGAGTGCCTAGCGAAATGGCGTAAAGACAACAATCTCTCCATCAACATCAGCAAAATGAAGAAGCTGGTCATTGACTTCAGGAAGCGGAGTGGAGTGCACGCCCCTATCTGCATCAATGGAGCTGAGATGGAGATGGTCGACAGCATCAAGTTCCTGGGAGTGACAAACACTAATGATCTGTCCTGGTCCACCCATGTTGACAGGACAGTAAAGAAAGCACAAAATCTCTACTTCCCAGATTCAATTCCAGCCTTGGACAACTGTCTGCGTGGTGTTTGCACATTCTCTCCATGTCTGCATGGGTTTCCTCCCACAGTCCAAAGATGTGTAGTTTAGGTAGACTGGCCATGCTAAATTGCCCAGTGTCCAGGCTGGATGGGTTAGCCATGGTAAGTGCAGGGTTACAGGGATGGGATGGATCTGGGTGGAATGCTTTTCAGAGGGTCGGTGCAGACCCAATAGGCCAAATGGCCTGCTTCCACAGTATAGCAATTTTATGATTCCTCAAAAGGCTGAGGAAATTTGGCATGTCCACAAAGACTCTTACCAATTTTTATAGATGCACCATAGAAAGCATCCTATCTGGATACATCACAGCTTGGTATGCACTGGTCAAGACCGCAAGAAACTACATAGAGTCGTGAACATAGTCCAGACCATCATGCAAACCAGCCTTCTATCCATTGACTTCATCCATACTTCCTGCTGCCTCAGGAAAGCAACCAGCATAATCAAAGACCCCTCTGACCCTGGCTATACTTTCTTCCACCCTCTTCCATTAGGCGGAGGATATAAAAGTTTGAATACACATACAAACAGATTCAAGAACAGCTTCTTCCCTGCTGTTATCAGACTTTTGAATGAACTTCCCTAATGTTAACATTGATCTCTCTCTCTGCAGCTGTAACACTGGATTCTGCACTCTGTTCTGCTACCCTGATGCACTTTATATGATAAAATCTGCCTGTATAGCTCGCAAGATAACATTTTTCACTGTATCCCAGTGCATGTGATAACAATAAATCAAACTAATGTAGGTACATAGCAGTCAACACCACAGGTACATGATTAGTGTATCTCTGCTGACAGTAATAAGGGACAGGATACATGACCAAACTAACAGGAGGTTAAATAGATACCAAACTAATCCCAAGAGCAAAAGTCTTTGTTTTGATAACTTTGAACAAATTGTGCTAAAATCTTGTCCATGCCATTCTTGACAATTAAGGGAGATTTCCAATTTTAGGAGGCAAGATCAAATTACAACGTCAGTTCTGAACACTTTCTCTCTGTACACACAGCCACCAAATCAATAAGCTTCCATTAAAGACAGTGAAATCATGTGGATCTCTCAGGAGCTCTCTCCCCGGGGGAACTGTTACCCAGATCCACTGGTGGATCAGCCATTGCTATAGAACCCCTGATAAGAGAAATCAGAACTACTGCCTGTAAAACGTGGGATAATATTTCATACATGTTTAGTTCAGTGACCTAAAAATTGAAAGGCGCATTATCAGCAGTCAACAATTTAGGCATTGTTCACTACATGAAGAATGAGTGCAACTACGATGGCGTTTATGTATCTAATTGTCTGCTTACTTAACTCTGTGAGCCTCTCCACCCACCCCACTCTCACTGAAAACAAGGTCTGGGGCTTCACAGCACTGGATCCATGGCAAATGTCCCAACAATGACAGTTAAGTGGCAAACCTACCTCAAGAACGAGGTCGAGCTCTTGGTAAAGCAGCTCAGTCTCAAAACTAATAAGATGGAGCTCCTCAGTCACGATGAGAGAAGCCTGAAGGAGGTATAGCATGTGGAGAAAGAGGAAAGGATTAAAGAATGAATAATGCAGGCACAGACCTTGCACACATGGTGAGCATCATTTGATATAAAATCAAATCATAACAATTGCACAAAGGAAGTGTTTCTGCAGATGTGTAAAATAAGTTTCAAATCTTTACCAACATGAGATAAAACATTAACTCAGTTGAACTTCCAGAAAACTAATGGTCAAAGCTACTTGCCAGTTTATAAAAAATAGCTCCATGCTGCCTGCATCCAGACAGAAACTCTGGGCTGGAATTTAAAGCGTCCCCCTGCCCCTCCCCAACAAAACAACTGGGGATGCTTCAGTCCTATCCCATATCCTAAAACAGTGACCCCTGGTCTGGATTCCCCGGTCATCGAGAACATCCTTCCAGTGTTTACCCTGTCTAGTCCTGTTTGAATTTCATAGGTTTCTATGACAACCCCCTTCATTCTTCTAAACTCCAGTGAACATAGTCCTAACCGATGTGATCCCTCCTCATGCGTCAGCCCTGCCATCCCAGGAATCAGTCTGGTAAACCTTTGTTGCACTCCCTCCATTGCCAAAACATCCTTCCTCAGATAAGGAGACCAAAACTGCACACAATACTCCAGGTATGGTCTTACCAAGACCTTGTTATAGTTGTAGTAAAGGTAATCCCTGCTCCTGTGCTCGATTCCTCTCGCTATGAAGGCCAACGTATCATTTGCCTTCTTCACCGCCTGCTGCACCTGCAATGCTTACTTTCAGCGACTGGTGTATGAGAACACCCAGGTCTTGTTGCACCTCCCCCCTTTCACAATCTATTGCCATTCAGATAATGATTCGCCTTCCCGTTTTTGCTCCCAGAGTGGATAATCTCACATTTACCCACATTATATTTCATCGGTCATGTATTTTCCCACTTACTCAACTTATCTAAATCACACTGAAGCATCTCTGCATCCTACTCACAGCTCACCCTCCCACCCAGCTTTTTGTCGTCTGCAAACTTGAAGATATTACACTTGGTTCCCTTACCAAAATCATTTATATATAATGTGAATAGCTGGAATGCGAGCATTGATTCCTGTCGCTGCCAGCCACTCGGAAAGTGACCCCTTTATTCCTGCTCTTATTTCCTGCCTGCCGACCAGTTCTCTATCCATGTCAATTCACTATCACCACTCACATCCACTTTAAATTCTACGTGCTAATCTCCTACGTGGGACCTTATCAAACACTTTTTGAAAGTCCAAGTAAACCACATTCACTGGGCCCCTAATCAACTCTATGGGTAACATCCTCAAAAAAAATTCCAGTAGATTTGTCAAGCATGATTTCCCTTTTGTAAATCCATGCTGACTCTGTTCAATCCTGTCACTGTTTTCCCAAGTCATTCACCATCTAGTCTAGTGTTTAAGAATCATTGCAATGATTCTATGACAGGGTACCGTTGTACCTTTGCCAAACTACATTGGAATCTTGGGACATGATTAATTTTGAATTGAATTATGGGGGCTGACTTCAGGCTCTAACTCATTGGCAAGGGTACAAATCATTTTCAAATCTAATCTAAAATCTATTACCTCATTACTTCCTTTTCCTCCAATTATAGACTTCTGCTCCTTTAGTTGCTGCAATCAGAAAAGTAGAATTGTTGTGTAGAAATGGTTTGATTTGTGCAGAATCAACAGTAAATCAGAAATTCATCACACAAATTATATAACAAGTGCAATAAAATCAAGCACAGAATACTGCTATTTTCTTACCAAATGTCTGAAGTCAGCACACAAGCCCCCGAATCTGGAATCCATCATGTTCATTGCCTTTGTGGTTGTGCCAAGTATATTGAATTTGCGATACCTGGTCATAAGCAAAAAAAGTGACATTAACAATGCAAAGCTGTTCTCCAAAGGCAACAACCTATTAAATCACAAGCTATTAGGAGGTTACTGCTTTAACATGTTCCCTTTTCACTGTTGTTTGTCAGTTTCCTTCAGTCGCATTTTGCCATTCTGGAGATATTACGAATGGTAAAACATCAAATTTTGTTCTTTACTACCCACATTTTAAAAAACTCGCACATCTATTTTCATCTCGTTCAAATGAACACGAACAGAGAGAGCAAAGATTGAAGAGGTGACTGAAAGCTTGGCTAACAACATAGGTTCCAGGGAAGATTTGCAAGAGGGGTAACAGAGGATTACAAACAGGGTTACAAAGCTGCAAGCTGAGATTGTCAAGTTGACATTACGGATGGTGAAATGGGAGATCAATGGGAAAGATCTAGTGAGGCAAGGCCTCATTAAAAAGAAAAGGGAAGATTTATTAATTAGGAAGTCAAAGGTTAAGTCAATACATTGGAGAAGCTGCCTTAATGAAAGTGGGTTAGCAAGGAGTGATGGTGAGGGCTTCATGCAGAATACAATACAGCCAAAGAATTTATGAAATGAGCCAGAAATCTGCTTAAGGTGCAGTTGGAAGGCTGGAGAGCTGAGCACTAAAGGAAAAACAGAGTCTGGTGGTGAATGCCAGACCTGCTGAGTTTCTCCATTGATGTCTGACTTTGTCTGGAGGTGACTTCAGTTGAGAATGAGGGTTTCAGCAATATATTTGGGGGTGGTCAGGGGGGAAATAGACAGTGAGAAACAGTAGAGGTGAGCAATGTTGTGGCCATGGATATATTATAATATGGTCAAATTATATTTTTTAAACATAGGCTTTGAAAATCAGTTCAGGGTTTCGTGTGTTGGATAACTTTTCTTGAAATCTCTTTACTTATAAAGAAGCTCTCTACCTTGGCTTTGGGATCATAGAATAGAATCCCTACAGTGTGAAAACAGGCCCTTCAGCCCAACAAGTCCACACCGACACAGAGCATCCCCGCCAGACCCATCCCCAGCTGACCCACCTAAGCTACACATGCCTGAACACTACAGGCAATTTAGCATGGCCAATCCACCTAGCCTGCACATCTTTGGACAGTGGGAGGAAACTGGAGCACCTGGAGGAAACCCACACAGACACGGGGAGAATGTGCAAACTCCACACAGACACACAGTCGCCAGAGGCTGGAATTGAACCAGTGTCTCTGGAGTGTGAGGCAGCAGTGCTAACCACTGAGCCACCTGGGGGAAAAAAACCTTACATCCAACATTTCAACTGACACTCGGATCAAGTCCCTGCGGATTTTTTCATCATGTCACGGTTAAGATATAGAACCAATTTTCATCACTATGTAGATCAGTCAAAATAAAAGTTGATAATTTTCCTGAAAAAAAAAGTGTTCTTACCCTTTCCCATTTGGTGAATTCCTGCAAGTTTAAAAAATAAAATAGAATTGGTTGACAAATATTTTATGGTTATTTTTGTTAAGTTTGTCAAGACAAGAACATAAAAAGGTTGCTTGTGACAAGCTTTATATATCATACAGCCATATTCGACCAACACAGTCCCTTAAAAGGAGTTCATTTCACCATATCTACCCCATATTCAGAAAGGGTTTTCTTTCTGCTTAGCAAATCTGTTAAAATTGTCTTAGAGACAGAGTGCTGACATCCACCAGGAACAGTTAGTGCCAATGTCAGACACTTATTAGAAGTGATTACCTGAGGAAAGACACTCAGCCTACCCAAAATCTGCTTTTAAAACAATTGACAACGTGACAATGTGTGGCTTGTTCACTCTATAGGCTGTGATGAAGGAACTTAATTTACTTATTCTCCATGTGTCCTTTTGTCTTTTCCCTCCTCCTCTGATAGGTGCTGACTCAGAGTACAATTCCGTAGATGCCAAGTAACTTTCAGTATTTTGGCTAAAGTGGGTCTTTATCTATGCTACCAACTGGCTATTTGAACGAAGAGAAGAAAACCATAGCCAAGTCTATTGTGTTTTCGTCCAGTATACTACACAAGCACATTTCCGAGCAGGAGCTAACAATCAGTAACAGGGACAGGGATTTTCCTTCTTCCATCATCCAAGATCAAACTGTTGTACCCAGGATTTCTGTGTTGGCTGATTTCAGCTACCTCAGCACAGACTGGGATCATCCTGATAGCAAGACTAGTGAACCATCACTGGCACTGAACAGACAACCAGTTAACAAAACACTGGTTATATTGAAGTGGACGAGGAAAAGTGTGCTTTATTATTTAGTGACCTAGTCAACAAATGTAACTAATCTATTACAAGCAAGGTCAGTACAAGGGAGTTGCACGAACAGAGTTGGAAAAGAGATCACTGAGGTCTTGTAGTTTAACAATAGAGATGTCCCACTGTTAGGCATAGCCCTTTGCCCAATATTAAACTAACTTAAACAAATGCTTTTGAACATTACAAGTAGGAGGAAAAGTAGTATTTCAAATTTTCTTAGCTTTGCAACAGAATACTTATCACAAGAGTAGAGATTACAGTGTTACTCTATCAGCCGCCACTGGGAGCTACACAGCCAGCTGAACAAAGAAATTTGTACTCTGATCTGCTTTCTCTTTTCTCATTATGCTGAATGCACAGAGATGAAATTCAGCATGTGTTTAGGACATTGCAACTCAAGCATCAACAATACTGATTTTTCAGCACTTTATTCTAGTAATGCTGAACTAGGAACATAAAGAGGAAACATGGCAAGGCGAGGAAGTATCCTGGCCCCCTGGTTTTCTCCCAACAGTAAGGGACTACCACTTTCAGAGAGATACAAACCCAAATCAATGAGCCTTACTCACACACAAACATTACAGCAAAGTGCTGCCAGCCCTCTATTGCTTTATGTCAGCTCAGTGCTTCGTCATCAAGACATAAAAGAGAGGAAGCAACTGAGGGGATTGCTTTTTCCTTGTAAAAATGAGTCACAGAAGTACAAAACCAACTGTCTGGACATTTCAGACCTCTTAATCCAAACAGAAGCAGGCAGAAGTGACCCAATAGAAGATTAGAACACACATTTATATTATAGAAGTACGATTGTTGATCACTTACTTATCAATGCAAACCTTCACTTTCATAATATGATTTGCTAAGTCTGGCAGTTTCACCAAAAGTCTGCAAGAGAACAGAACATGGAATTACAAAAAACATGACATCCATTAGATCATGTATTTCAAGAACTATAACTAATTTTAAAATCTAAGTTCTGCCCCCTACATTATATACTTTTTGTTAGAGTGCGAGTCATAGATACACTGGGGGAGCATTTGAAGTCTCTCTTTTCCCCCCTCCCCCATTTGCTTTCATCAAACCATGATGCAAGATACAAGAGGGAGGAGGACTTGTACAAACCGTTACAAAACTGAATCATTCCTGGGCCAGCAGCAGAGCGCAAGTGTGCAAGCCCACTGCACTATTTTAAGCAGCAGTGTAGACTGAACAGTGCACAAACTGGTAATATCCTTTCTGACTTTATAGGTCAGCAATTTGTCAGATGCTGTAGATTTTCACATCAAAAGACCAGTCAGCAGTATTAGTCTCTCTTCATCAAATCTCTCAGACTCTGCACTTACCATTTGTCAGCTCAAATCAGCCTTTAAATTTACATTATAAACAAAAAAAAAAAACAAACCGAGGAGAAAGTTGCTAGGCACATAGGCCATGTGCAGTAGGAACCAGCTGAATTAAAGATAGATCTTGAACTTATACACTGTCTTTCATGACCCCCAAATGTTCCAAGGCACTTTAGCTAATTAAGTGGTTCTGAAGTGTAGTCACTGCCATAAAGTTGGGAACTGCACCAGCTAATTTCACACAGCAAGCTCCCACAAACAGCAACATGATAATGACCAATGACTTTGAGATATTGGGGGATAAACATTGACCAAGACACCAGGAAAATTCCCCTGCTCCCCTTCAAAACAGCAACCACTGGATTTTTTTGAAAACATTCGCCCAAAAAGGGAAGATGGGCCTCAATTTAATGTCTCAGCTAAAGGATGGCACCTCAGAAAATGCAGCACTCCCTCAGTACTACACTGGGCTGTGCCAGCGTCAATTACATAAAACAGCCATTGGAGTTGAACTTGAAAAGAATTTTCTGCTACTACTGAAGCACCCCACTTGATCACTGCCTTTTTATTTTCACGCAAGTATTTCTTGCTTCACACACAAAATCCAAATGTGAATCATTACAGGACAGCCGAGTATTTTAAACATTATTCTATGATTTCACTGAAGGCAAAACCTGTACTCACCGCGGCTTAACAGAGAACTGTGAGCTTGTTCTCAACACCAGAGGCATCTTACTCTGAACAGGCATACAAGGTTGATTCTCCACGACAAATGCACTATATTTATATGAAAAAAGAAGTTCATTTATTTCAATTAAAAAACAAATAATATTGTTTAAAAAAAATAGCTCTTGCCATTAAACAGCATTTAAAAAGACTATATTTGCCTTGGGTCTGCTGAATTTAATGTTCCTACCAACTTAGATACTTGATATTTATACATTCGAATCTCCATCCCCAGCTCTCCCCCAGAATTTTACCTGCAAAATTAGTAATGAAAATTTCATTCCCAATTGATCCAATTCCTGACTTGTATATAGCATGGGAAACAATGAAATGATAATGCATTGAGTGCACCGCACAGAAAAGGCCATTTGGCCCATCTCGTTCATGCTGATGTTTATGCTCCTCTTACCCTTCATTATTGTCATTCTTACATGGGATGTAGGTAAGGCTGACATTTTTTGCCCAGCCCTAATTGCCCTTGATTGGCTCTCGAGGCCATTTCAGAGAGAGTTAAGAGTCAATCATGTTTCTGTGGGTTGGAGTCACAAATAGGCCAAACCAGCCGAGGGCAGATTTCCTTTCCCGAGGACATTAGGTTCTTAACTCCAGAGAGAGTGTGTTGAATTCAAATTCCACCATCTACCATAGTGGGATTCAAATCCCTGTCCTCAGAGCATTATTAGTTCAGTAACATTGCCATTATGCTACCACCACTGATTTATTTGCTGACTTTGTATGTGCAATGTTTTGTAAAGATACTTTGCTGTTCTGGGACAATATATTGTGAGTAATTTAATTAGACTTAAGGACTTCAATAAATTCATGTATCGATCCTATCTCTGGCTAAAACTGCCAATATGGAATTAAAAATTCAAACAAAAAGTTTTGTGCAATAATTTCTTTTATAGTATAACAGCTGCTACAGAACAAGCTTTCAGGTAAAGTATATAGGTACTGAGGAAACAGTCTAAATAATGTAAAAGAAGAAATCTCCCAAGCACCTTTTTATGAGGCAGGTTAGTAGAGTCACAGTTTGTTTCTCTAAAGCAGGTCTTTGTGTTTTAAGAGGATCTTTATCATAGGTCAGTTTAATTCCCAGCTCCTCCAGTTTCTTCAGCAACCTTTTCACTTGGAACAAACACAGTGCACTGGCAGTAAACCTGTAAGTTAAGAATTTAACAAAGGTTATGAAGTAGTAGAGATTGAGATAATCAGTATCAGAGTTTAGTTCAGGCAAATTCTTATTTTACCTTCACATGAAAACTCTTCCCATGGACAACTGGCCACATGAAACTCTGTCCTTTTTATACATTCACATATACGTAATTATTCAAAATATTTTATGTACAAAAAAAAAGTGTCACCAAAACTAATAATCATGACCATAAAGGATGGGAAAATATAAGCAAACTGAAAATTAAAACATCATCAAATCAGCTAGGGCTCCTACTTCTTTCGGACTGCTTTCCAGCAGCCCATGCAGGCGATTGTGCTTATATTGGACAAGGTTTGAATCAGAGAGAAGGGCTCCCTCAAATCAGGATAATCTACCATTCTGCATACCAGTTCTCCAGTTGATCCAAGCAAACGTCCATAGGAGCACCAATGCAGGCCTTCTGTTGGCGCCTCTTCCAGTCTGCCAACTGCTCTTTCACCAGTGTGTCCAGTAGCTTCCCAGCTTCCACCAAAAGCTCACGGAATTTACCAATGACATTCTACCGGAGACACAATAAAGTTCTCATAAAACACTGGACAGGGTGGATTACACGCCAGTCTTTCAGCTGTTTTCAAACCAGTGTTCAAATTCATGCCTTTAAGGTAAACATCTTCTCTGATTGATGGCTATATGGGCGCTATTTTAAATTATCTTGGGAAATCTCAATCTAGCCCTCAATGGGCACAGGTCCACAGCACAAACCTGACCACAATTTATTCTGTTAGATTGATGGCTGGTTTAGAAAATGGGCAAATACCAACGCTGGTACACAGTTTGGGGATGCTCTTGTCATGAAGGGAGCCTTCACATTGTAATGGGCAGTAAATCTCCAAGGAAAGAAGGGGGAGGAGCAGAGAAAACAAAAACACTGGAGATATACATCTCTGAACAGTGGCTTAGTATTTAATTGACAAAGGCTTGAAAGTTCATATGCCTGCCCATTCAGACAACACCTGGCCCAAGAGGGAGAAAAATGAAATACAAGTCAATTAATTGGCATTAATCTTAACTTGTACATAGAGTTGAAATGAGTGACTTTGTTAAAAAAAATTTAACAAATTAAGAAATGCAATTGTGCGTACAAGTAGTCACACAGAGCCTAACTCTGAGGAATGAGCGACCAGCAAAAGTGGTAACTGATACGGGGATTTAAATAGGAGATGGAAAAATTCTATAGTTGTAATTTACCAGGTTAAAAAGTGAGTGGAAAAAATGTATGGTATAAACTTCATATCACAACATCTAACCATTTGTAATTGTATTTTCTTAATACAAAGATTTCAATTATTATAATTTTACTTAGAAACCCAAAAAAAAGGAACTAAGTTTGAGACCCCAAGGGAAACATGAAGACTTGATATTCCATGGATGTGGCAATAGTTTAGAGTTATAAATTAATAAAACTGGATCCTCCCAAAAGTCTCTTATCTTATCTACTAGTAAGACCAGGAAAACCTTGGGAACTTCAATTTCAGTCACTTAGTTGACTTCAGTCAGAGCAGGAGGCATGCATAATTGCATAATTCACCTTCAGTGTGCCAGGTTAAGTGATATGTCTTAGTAGCACACTTAAAATACCAGACAACTGTGTAGAATATTACTTACTTTCCTATCATTATCCAGAATATTTAGCATGTTCTGTAGCACTTTCATTTCTTCCTGTACCTGAGGGGAATTATGCGATTCTAAAAGACAACAGAATTAGCCATAAACACACTGCACAGATTGATACAAAACATTTGAGAGTGTGTTTTTTTGCAGGATGCAACTGCATTTCATAGCTAGAGCCTCCATGAACACTGGATATCACTTCAGGAAAGGACAACTACTTTTATTCAGCTCACCTGGTGGCAAGATGTTAACAAAGCTATTTAGTCAATAAATTCTAAACATTTTGAATGGGAATATGCTTTTGATGTGTCACCATCCTCACTTTGAAGTACCATTATATCCTGTGACCACCGCTGACATCTAGACTGATATGATGGGTATAGCCATTGGGGAACTCTGCTTTGGCGTAACTGTATCCAGGATAAAAGTCATAGCCTTCAGAAGAACGAAATAGAAACAACTCAACTTAAAAATGTTTCATACCAATTAAAAAGGTTAGAGATCATAATGCACTCTTGCCTAGCTGGTGGAATCACTTTATCATCCACCTCTACAATTTGTGGAGAATTTCTGCTACGATGTCCTCTCACCTGCCTATCGTAGGATTCAGAGAGACAAAGCTAAACTAGCAGATTGAAGCTACAAAAAGCCACTCACCTTGACACTTTAAAGTCTTGTATTTGAAATCAAATTCATCTTGTTGTTCCTCTAGGAATTTCAACTCCTGCTCACATGTCTGTATACAACAGTTTTAAATATAATTAGCAAAGACTAAATTAATCTTCAGACTGCCAACGAGTTCAAAGAAATCCATATCTTTGAGTTGACTGGATTCTTTTACACACTTGACCAAGTGTCAACGTTATAGTAATAAACATGCAAAAATCAGACATTGCTTTATTACTGTATTCATCGCAAATGAAAATACGCCTGAAACATAAACATGTCCCTCCACCCCATTTCCAAGTTTTATTTCATCTATCGCTTGTTATAGAAAGGAGGGAACTGGCAAATAAATAGCTGTGCTATTGAAGTAGCAGCAACAGAAGTCTTCCAATACAACTTACAAAAGTATGAAAGAAACCGTAGAAGAGGGAAAGCTAGTTCAAGGCAAGACGTGGAAAGAAAAGCTGCGGAATGCAATAAGTCAATCACACGCAGCACTCACTTGCACGTCACTTCTCAAGACAGTAATTTTCTGTTCGATGTCCTGGTGTCTTTCAAAGTCCACAGGTTGAATTGCATCCGAGACAGTCTAGAAAGAAGACAGCAGCTGTCTCAATATGGAAAACATTCTGATCAGTCTTATGTTACAAACAATTCTACCAAGTAAACCAGCCTTCGAGGGATGGCACAATAATCCACTGCACTGCAGGACCAAGGCACGAGGTAGAGGCCAAGGTGCTACTTGATAGAGGTTTACAAAATTATAAGAGGCATGTATAGAATGGATAATCAGAGTTTTTTTTGGCAGGGTAAAAATGTCGATTACTAGGGGGCATAGGGTTAAGGTACAAGGGGGAAAGTTTAACAGAGATGTGATAGGCAAGTTATTTTTACGCAAAGGTGGTAAGTGCCTGGAATGCGCTGCCAGAGGTAGATACAACAGCAATGTTTAAGAGGCATCTTGACAAATACATGGATAGGCAGGGAATAGAGGGGTACAGACCACGTAGAGGCAAAAGATTTTTAAGTTTAGAAAGGTACAGGCTTGGTGAGCTGAAGGACTTGTTCCTGTGCTGTAGGGTTCTTAGTATCGCTTTTTGAATATATACACTTTGCAACTTAATCAGGAAGAGGTACTTTTCCTACAAGCAATTGTCTGAATAGAATAATTATCCTCCAATCCTCCTCTGAGTGCTGTTTGACAGGTTGGATTGATGGGCGATGTGGAGGTTTGTGCATTCCCTCCAAATGCCTCAATGCAAATTCTGCACATTCCATTTAACGTGTTTGGTGCCTTCTGGAATGAGCCGTCTTCATTTTGGTTGGTCACAAGCCAGGGGCACCCGTGAGCCAGTTCAAGCTCTTCAGGTTTCGAGGACGTCATTAAAAACAAAAAAAAAAAACAACAACAAAAAAAAGTGTTGCCACTGTTCTTATGGGAGCCTCCTGCTGTGGCTGAGTTCAGAATGGAGTAGCTGCTTCAGGAGTCTAGTGTTGACCATACAAATGATATTCCCCACACATTGAAGATAGTTTTGAACAAGTAGTGCCCAGATATTGGGCAAGTTAGCTTGGGAGAGGACACGGCTATTGGACTACATTTCTTTCCACGCATTCTGAAGAATCTTGCAAAGGCACTACTAGTGGTACTTCTCCAGTGCTATGAGGTGCCTGTTGTAGGTTGGCCAAGTCTCCATGTAATATAGGAGGATGGAATCACCACTGTCTGGTGAACCATGAATGGCTTTAGTCTCAGGTTTAAGATCCTGATCTTCAAATCTTCTTTCCTTCAGTTGATTGAGCTGGCACATTGGATTGGATGACCAATATTGTCATCTCTCTTCAGAATTTCAACTAGGGGAGGTGTTTTGTTATGGGAGTTAGTTAGAAGAGGATCTTAGTTTCCCAAATATTTAGTGAAAGGCTTATTTTCTCATAGATTTAAGGAGAAGTCAACACTGGCATAGAGCTCGGTTATTACGTTCCATCATGAAGTAGCACTCTTTGTTATCAACTGAGTGCATACAAGCATCATCCCCTCACTACACCCGAGGTCAGATTGAAGATGGTGAAGGGTGAACAGTCACAATTTGTTCTGTAAATTTATTTCCATAAATCAGTGGTTAATTTGCTGAGGGGAGGTGCAGTTTTACAGTAAGTCAAAGAAAGAAAGAAGAACAGGCTCTGATAAAGAATTTGGAAAAGACTTAAGTTTTGGATTTCCTTTCAAAGCTGGTTTCAAATTGCTGGACATCTAAACCATGTTTCTGCAATGGACCAGTAGGAGAAAAAAAAAAAAAATCATGTCTCTGTCTACAATCTGCTATTACGTTTATCTCTTCTTCCCTGATCTACAGCCTTTGGGAAAACCTAGATGCGCACCATCTTTCAAGCATAGCTTCAAATTCTAGACTCCCATCCAGTCAAAGCACAGGTCACAGATACACAGAGAATAGTTGTCAACCCAGTGAATGCAATCACCCTGGAACTTTGCACTTGGCAGTAAATGAGGAAGCAATGTGTTGGTATTAGAAGCAAAATGAAGCTAAGGGTGCACCTCGTATTTTTTTTAAAAAAAAAAAAGGGGAGGGAGCAACCAAATACAGTAAACAGACGCCAAGAGATTCAAATGGAGCTGTACTTTATGGCAAAAGTAGGAGTCAACAGCCATGGATGCAGAGGATTGCTCCACTATCCTGGAGAACCATTATCTAAGCATTTGTTTAAATAAAAACGCAAAGTGTCTCTCAAGAAAAGACTGTTTCCAAGAGATCATTTAAAAGTTACTTTCATGCAACACTTTCTTTTCAATGAGGTTACGAGGCTGCAAAGAGGCATGACACCACACAGGTACCATGCATGACTCTACACTAGAAGGAACCCTCAGTCAGTAAAAGCCATGTACCCTACCCAGCTTATGCTTTAGGTCCCAAAACGTTACTTCCTTTATAGACAATTCCACTGCAGAGTGCCTCACCTGGCAAGATGGTTCCCAAAGTGGCTTGCGAGTATCAGAGAGCATGCTGTAGAAAACGTCCCAGATATCATGTGTTAATTGTCACAGGGCAAATTGACTAATTGTGATTGTTAACTTGCCTTGTGAAGTGGAAGTTGCAAAGTCTCTTCTGCCATGCCCAGACAAGACTGCAACAGCTTGTACACAAGGGCCCTCCAGCAATGGCAGGCACGTTCCATCATGAAGTAGCACTCTTTGTCTAGGGCTTAACGGCAGTCTAGAAGTGAACACACCAGAGCCTCATCTGCCCAAACCTGCTGGGTACTATTTGCATTGCTGCAGCTATTTCCCACTTTACAAACAAGCCTAGCAAAGAGGAATGATGCTGCATTTTCTGCAGAGTCAGACAGCAAAAAAAATCTTTGCAAAACAAATCAGTAGAGAAGGTTCAAAATTCACCCAGGAAGAGAGAGATTAGCTTTAAAATGCACAGTGCTGGTGTCCAAGTTTCTGAAGCCAGCAACCCCAATGGAAGACAGTAGCATGGGTCATAAAAACACTTGCTGGAAAATTCTGCCATGTTGATATTCAGTCTGGTCAGTGACACTTTGCAAAAATCAGCCTAAGATGTCCCAGTGTGTAATATTGAGCTGTATACTTCTGTCAGAAGAAACATACCTCCACTGCACAGCAAATAACAACATTTAGCTTGATGGTTATTGCAAACAGCCGAATAATTTGACTTCTCAGCAGACCAAGATGGCAGTGAAGAACTGCTGCTGTAGTGGTGGGTCCTGACCCAAAGCTATGGGCGATGACGGCAACCCTGTTTGCCAGGAGTTATGCATGACCAGAGATAGGTTTATGAAGGGAAACCATCCATTGGTCCTAAAGCTGTGCCACTTGGGGTAGAGGCTTGTAATAGTCGCATGCATGTCATCAGCAAAGCTCTGTGCTTTGGGGAATGCAGCCAAATGGCAAAAATAGAGCACAGAATACAAAAGCAGGGAGGTTATCCTTAACCTTTATAAAACTCTGGTTAGGCCACAGTTGCACCCAGCTCTGGTCACTCCACTTTTGAAAGGTTGAGAGGGTCCATGAGAGTATGCAAGATATTTCTCACTTAGGGGAGTACTTAAATTATAAAGTTAGGATGGAAAATCTTCTTGGAGCAAAGGAGGTTGACAGGGATGTTTGATAGGGGTGTACAAGGTTATGACAGGTTAGGATAAAGCTTCTCCAAACAAAGAATGGCTCCCCCCATTAGCTGATTGCTCAAGGACTAAAGGACACAGATTTAATGCAGTTGGACAAGGAGGTACAGGGAAACTGGAGAAAGAACCTTCAAGTAGAAACAGATTAGAACTCGTAGCTCAAGGGTGGAGGAAGCAGAAAGAATAATTTCAAAAGAAAATTGGATGGATACTTGAAAAAGGAAAATCCTGCAAGGTTATGGGAATCATGTGAGGAAGTGAGACTACCTGGATTGATTTTCAGAGTACCAACATGGGCCTGATGGGCTGAATGGCCTCATTTTGTGCTGTAAATGCAGCAGGTTTCACATACGTATCCTGCCTTAGAGGATGCATGAGCATTGAAACATTAGCCCAGCAGAGACTTTGATGGCCTACTCATTTGGTGTCTTTGTCCTGGAACAGTTTCCAAGTCTGAATCTGAGGATATATTGCTGTCTGCATGGAGGATTTGGAGGAAAAAAAAAACCTGCAATGATACCTGGGGCTCTGTGCTGAAGTGGTGGCATAAGAGAAAAGTTTTATTAGTTTCCCCAAAAGGTGAGAGTGTGACAGGGTGACAGAGTGATAGGCTAATTAGGAAAACTCTTCTCCAATCCCACAGGCCAAGCAAAACAGTCCAGAATTTCACTCTGGCTGTGATTAGTTTTACAGTTTAGTTTTAGGAATGGAAAGAAACATTGCAGTCAATATAAACAAGCTGAGCAGATAATTAGTAACAAGTACAAAAATAAGTGACTGTTTTGGGAGGATCCAGCAGGGAAACCAAGCTTTCTATGCAAGGCCTATTTATACTGGGCAGAGGCTCTGGAGCATGGCTTGGCATCGATTCAATAACGGGGATGCATCAACAATTCTTTTGTTTAAATGAGCCTAGCAAAGAACAGGGCTAATACTGTAAAGTAGAATCCCTCATCCAATCTATTGCTTCCAAAGCTGAAATCCCCAGGGCCTTCTCTTCATCAGGAAGCAAGAGCAATAAATTCAATGGATCCAGCGGGCCCACCCACCCTCCAGCATTTCTTATATTACTGAGATAACAAGGTGTAGAGCTGGATGAACACAGCAGGCCAAGCAGCATCATAGGAGCAGGAAGGCTGACGTTTGGGTCTAGGCCCGAAACATCGGCCTTCCTGCTCCTATGATGTTGCTTGGCCTGCTGCGTTCATCCAGCTCTGCACCTTGTTATCTCAGATTCTCCAGCATCTGCAGTTCCTACTATCTCTGATACTTTCTTACATTACTGTTGTCTACAGTCCTGTAGACAGATAGAGAAGGAACACTTGCAGCCAGCACCAAAACAAATGCAAGTTTGTGGACATGAAATATGCAAGTACATGGCATTGGCAGTTTGCCCAGTGTACACTCGTTAGAGGTAAATTTTCTAGCAGAAGACCAAGCTTCTGCATTTCAAAAGTAAATTCAACAGTTAACAGAGCATTGTTTACTCTCATTGAGGCTGATCCAACAAACTGCTATGCCACAAGACACCTTGCACATGTGAACAGGACTTACTTTAGTAACCTACCCAAGACCTAACCGATTATTTTTAAACACTTTAAACCAGGAGAGACAGCATTCACTCGTTCAATCAGCTCCATTCAGACTGCTGCTGTGCTGCTCTTCATTGGAGTCATTCTCACTTTCAAAAAGGCCCACCCTCCTCCTCGCAGGTCCTCTTCCAGCATCACTTAGAGATGTCCCGTGAAACGGAGTTGTTCTGCTGTTTGCGCTTGTTGCGACCATTCCTTCCCCTTTTTACAAGATCAGGGCAAGCAACAGCCCTTGAACTCTTGAAACCAGGTGACACCTTTAGGTACTAAGTGCACCCAACATTGCACGTGTTATTAACCAGGAGCACAGAAAAATTATTGATACAAGCTGGCCTTGCATCATAGGATGGTAGCTCACTGCACCAAAGAACAGCAGCCTTGGTGACTTTGCACCAAGACTAGATTATCAACCCCAAATGGTGAACGATCAGTGGAATGGAAAGCTCCAGATAGTCTGTCAGTCTGGGTTTTTGAAGAACTAGCATAAGAACAGTTCAGCGAATCAATAACTAAATAAACCCATGACTTTCAGAGCTCATTTGTATTCCTCATACCTGCTGATCCTCTACAACAGCGTTTAGTATCATCTTCTCCTGCTTCAGTCGAGCAGCGACAACCTTTGCCAACAGAACAGGGTCCTCTCCATAACATTCCTAATGAAAGAGAAGCCAAAGCATTAACATAACTACCTGTAATACAGGGAGAGGTTCTACTGTGATGACTGTGGGTTTTGCCTTTTATCTTACAGCACAGAAAGAGGACATTGGTCTAGCATCATTGTGCCAGCTCTTTGAAAAGGCTATCTAAATTTATCCCCACTCTCTAGCTCTTTCCCTGTAGCCTTGTGAATATTTTCTTTGCAAAGATTTATCCAATTCCCCTTTGAAAGTCATGACTGAAATTGCTTCCACCATCCTTTTAGGCAGCCTATGCTCTATTATTATCTTCATAATGTTTACTTGAAGTTAAATTACAGCTGTGTCACCCCAGTGGTTTTATTTTATTTTATTTTGGTTTGATTAAAATAA